AAATTTTCTCTCAAACCGTATAGTTTTTTTTTTTTAGTATAGATAGTATTTATTTACCTCATGATATGCTGCAAAACCTAATTATTTACGAATTTCTAATTTTAGGTACTCTTGTCTCCGATTGTACCTCCTAAACATCTTTAAATAAATAAAAGTAAATTTGACTATGCATTTTTATTTTACTTTAATTGTTTAATTCGACTTCTACTATTTTATTCAAAAGTGAGATATAAGGCCCCGTTTACACTTTGATTAGTGATTATGCGAGTTCATACATTTTCTGCGAGATTTCCAGGGGGGGCAGCTGTCCTCCCCTGCCCCCCCTGGGTACGTTCATGTAACTGTCTGTTCTAAAAAACAAATAAGTGGTGAGCTGAAAACCAAACATAACAGGGATATTTTGTTACATGTAATCATCAAAGGACATCATCTCTTATCTAATACAAACGCAATTTACAGCTTTACATTCCTCATGTAACGCTGTGTTCAAAAGATTTTAAAAGTTCGCTTAGTTTAGGACAGTTTCTTCAGAGAAAAACGGAATCTTTGTGGAAGTTATGCAAGAGTTCGCTCTGTTTTTAATAAAATTAAACTGGCACACCGTTTATTGCAAAGCTACAGTCTGTAGTCTCTAATATCCATGATATTGTGCACGAGTCAAAATGAACGATTTCTCCTCTTTTCAATACTCAATATTCGTTTTCAGCGGGTCAAAATACTACAATTTCAATTCTGATATGAATAAATAACATCGGCTACAGAAACCCTACTGGTGCCACATTATGTGCTTAAGCATTACACTTTTATTATATTTTTTCCGATATATTATACCACGTGGATTGAAAATTTAATTTAATAGTGTTACGTAAACTTGGCCCGTCGGAAACTGTTGTAAAATAATGTATTCCATAACAGTGACATTTCCTTTTGGTTTCATTTTTCTAACTTTAGAAAATTTTTGTAAATATGTCCAAGACAGCCTCCTATACAGAGAAAATACTGTTTCACCAAGAGATTCACTTTCGGATAATTTCCACTATCTAGGTTTTTTAAAATACCATAAATTTAGTTTAATTTTTTAAGTTTAAAATGGACTTAACTATAATTCAAAAATGAANCATTTTTATTTTACTTTAATTGTTTAATTCGACTTCTACTATTTTATTCAAAAGTGAGATATAAGGCCCCGTTTACACTTTGATTAGTGATTATGCGAGTTCATACATTTTCTGCGAGATTTCCAGGGGGGGCAGCTGTCCTCCCCTGCCCCCCCTGGGTACGTTCATGTAACTGTCTGTTCTAAAAAACAAATAAGTGGTGAGCTGAAAACCAAACATAACAGGGATATTTTGTTACATGTAATCATCAAAGGACATCATCTCTTATCTAATACAAACGCAATTTACAGCTTTACATTCCTCATGTAACGCTGTGTTCAAAAGATTTTAAAAGTTCGCTTAGTTTAGGACAGTTTCTTCAGAGAAAAACGGAATCTTTGTGGAAGTTATGCAAGAGTTCGCTCTGTTTTTAATAAAATTAAACTGGCACACCGTTTATTGCAAAGCTACAGTCTGTAGTCTCTAATATCCATGATATTGTGCACGAGTCAAAATGAACGATTTCTCCTCTTTTCAATACTCAATATTCGTTTTCAGCGGGTCAAAATACTACAATTTCAATTCTGATATGAATAAATAACATCGGCTACAGAAACCCTACTGGTGCCACATTATGTGCTTAAGCATTACACTTTTATTATATTTTTTCCGATATATTATACCACGTGGATTGAAAATTTAATTTAATAGTGTTACGTAAACTTGGCCCGTCGGAAACTGTTGTAAAATAATGTATTCCATAACAGTGACATTTCCTTTTGGTTTCATTTTTCTAACTTTAGAAAATTTTTGTAAATATGTCCAAGACAGCCTCCTATACAGAGAAAATACTGTTTCACCAAGAGATTCACTTTCGGATAATTTCCACTATCTAGGTTTTTTAAAATACCATAAATTTAGTTTAATTTTTTAAGTTTAAAATGGACTTAACTATAATTCAAAAATGAATAGTAGCGTATAAAACACGATCGACGTAGGTTAACTGTAAGTGGTATAAATGACTTAAAATTTTCCGATTTATTTACCAAAAATCAAAATAACACTTATTATTATTAAATTATCAATTTTTTGTTTTTGACATTAAAAAGGGTGGATATGGCACTCAGCCGGAAGTGTTTGTTGGTGCCTTCTAGCTGCGTGTTCATCAGTATTGATTTTGCCCATAGTGTTGGTCGTTCTTTGCGAGCAACGGATGTGGCAGATGAGCCATTGTCCTTTTTGCTGGCTCGGCGTATCTGACGTTCTTATATCCAACCTCCTCTTTAAACGATCAAGTTCCATTTTTTTGTACAGGCAAGAGGGAAATTGAAAACAGAAAGCTAAGATGAGAAATATACAGAGTGAATCATTTCTACGTGAAAAAAAAAAGGAATTCTACTTGTAGCTTATAGAATAAGAGGTTTTATATGTAATCGTAATAAATGGTTCATATTTCACCAAAATTATTACACCAATATGAACATTGGCGTAGCTAAGGGAGGGAGCAGGTGGGCCAGGCGCACTCTAGAATCTTTCTGGCTCGCCCTAGAATCCTCTTGGCTCACCCTAGAATCCTCCTGGTCCGCCCTATAAACCTCCTGGCCTACCCTAGAATTCCCCTGGCACACCCTAGATCCCTAGATTATCAATGGATTTGTCCAGAAAATTTTTTTATTTCACAAATCGAATGTGCAAGTGAAAAATAAGAAGTCTGCAAAAAATCAAAATTTTACTCTCACGTTTAATGTCTTAAAAACAATTACAAAATAAATTTATCAATAAAACTTTGTTATTTACTTAAATCATTGGAAGAAAGTAGAAATCGTGGGTGCGCGAGTGGAACTCACACTTGGCCAATTTTTTTTCCTGCACGTGTTGTTTCAACTTTTATAAGGATTTATCTTTATATCGGTTCACATTACGTCGTTCGTGACCTTTTGCATTTACATCGGTAGACACAGACATATCATCTATGTATGTATGTATGTATGTGTGTATAAAAATGTTCATAGTATGTTCCTTTAAACGTGAAGAAATTTTATATTGCCTAAAGCCCAAAGGACGAGAAACGGCAGCGTTCACTTTCTCGTACGTCGATCCTATATCCTATATAAATAGTTACGGCTGCTACTACGGAAACGAAGACGGCTTATGAAGGAAAGCGTGGAAATTGTAGTTCTTGGCCGCCTGCCACCGCGCAAGCATACAGCTGTGCTGTCACGTTAAATTTTCTTCGGCCCGTGGCACAGAAAAGAAAATACAACATAAAACCAACAGGGGAAAACCGCCCCAGCCTTCGTCAGATGGTCGATGAATGAATTTTGTCGGAAGTTTCTTGTAAGTGACATGATATGACACGAAAATGTAGCATTGCAGAATTACTGTTTTTTTCTCTCACTTAAGGATTCTATTTATCTACTACATTCGTATATGTAACACAGACAGGTAGCTTCATTAAAAACATTATGTGTTAAATATAAAAGATTCACTTACATTTAGCTATTCTATATCTACATATGAATTTTACAAACTAAATATTTTTATTCTTTTCGCTTTTCTGCTATTTTTCTCTTTCGTAATATTTCTTCTCTCATCCTTTTCTTCCATTTGAATTGCCCACTTTTTTTGTACCATTTCCAGCTTTTCTACATCTTTCAAAAATGTGTTCGAGCGTCTCAAGTTGTAGTCTACACAGCCTGCATATTTTCCTCACTTCTTCCCAATTCTTGCTGTCCTATTTTCATTTCCCAGTCTAAATCTTTTCACTTTTTGCTCTTTCATCTTTCAAGTAATTTGGTTTTCTTTACATATTTTCTTTTGTTAAACTTTCCAGCTCTTTCTATACACTTCTATCTTCTTCCAGTTTTCATTCATCCTCTCAACTAAAAAATTTTTTCTTTCCTTTGTGATTTTCTTTCTCTCGGTCTAAATCTTTTCACTTTTTGCTCTTTCATCTTTCAAGTAATTTGGTTTTCTTTACATATTTTCTTTTGTTAAACTTTCCAGCTCTTTCTATATACTTCTGTCTTCTTCCAGTTTTCATTCATCCTCTCAACTAAAAAATTTTTTCTTTCCTTTGTGATTTTCTTTCTCTCGGTTTGAAATTCGATTCTTAACTTTTATACATTCTTTTAATGACATATTATCTTCTAAATTTAACAGTTTTCCTTCATACTTTAAAGAACTTGTCGAATATTTTATAGCCAATCTTTTGGTTTTTGTTTCTTTTTGTAATAGGTATTTTGGTGTATTTCTACCTATTTTTAAAATCTATCTCATGTACATCTCCTGAATGCTTTCAATCCTTTTTCTTTCTCCCTACCCTCAAATTTCCGCTCCGTACAATAATATACTCTCAATGTCCCGAATAGGTACATTATTTTTTCCCTTACTTTTACTCAGTTGGATGCTATTTAATTGTTGTCACAGTAGTGGAAATAAAATGAGAATTGGATAAGTAATACAAAAAATTTAATAAGAGGGAGTTATTTGGTATAAATTTTAGGGTCTTCAATCACCATATCGCTTTGGCCCTTATGTAATTTGCTTTTATTCAACACTGAACTTTAAATGGTATGAAATAAAAATTTAAATTAAAAATTTTTGTAAACTCCGACATAAAAATGCCAATGTCAAATGAACAAAAATTAATGGATTATGTATTTTGATTAGATTTAAAACATTTGATCGTTTAAATATTGATTGTTAAAGTAACCATTAACTTACTCCAACTACAATATTTAAACATACAAATGAATAATGATTTAGAGCTTTGGCACACGATGTCTCTTTAAGGTATGCGATAATATGTTTTAATTATCGATTATTATCAATCAATAATTATCCACAAATGGGTAACTATTGGTAGTTATCTGTATATCAAATTGATAATTATATCACTAAAATTATCGATATATCGATAACAGTAATAGTATCTGATTACTATCGACATATTGCTACTTGCTTGTTGCTAATTGCCGATATATCGAAACATTTGTTGATTACTGATAGTTATCAATAGTTCGACATATTGATATTCATCGATAATCATTGAAATACTAATAACTATCGATAATTAACGAAAATATAAATGTATCGATATATTGATAACCATCAGTAATTATCACTTGATATTATTGTTATCGATATATCAATATTTTTGCCCAGCACTTATCACAATACTATCATTGTTTTCATCGGTGCAGTTCCATTGCTAAATTAAAAACATTATGGTGCAATAGTATCGGACTTCCACCGCAACTGTCGCGCAATTGTATCGATGAAGCCCCAATGTAAGATCAATATATTTAGATTTTACTCAATTGCTCAATTTTCATCGTTTATTGTAGATCTATTGCAATAATATATTGGTCGTACGTATGCCCGTGAAATGTGCGACACTATAGCAAAAAATTTGTAGTGTGCCAAGGGCCTAAGGATTCAAATATATGCAGTAGTAAATATATAGTTATTATTATTACTAATACGTATTACTCATTTTTGTATTTCCTTGTAAACAATTTACACTACAAAAAACATCAATATTGTGTTACATAAATCATACTTCAAAATATTTTCATTCACTACGACACCACCCATATATATATATACGTAATGCAGTCACTACGTCATAATCATACAAATGTTTGATTACAAAATACAGATATACATTACTACATTACAAAGGTATATATACCTTTTTAATATTTATTGTTCTTGACATCGTTTGTTGTCTCGTATATGAATGTAATTGTAGTATCTATATCTGTATTTTGTAATCAAACATTTGGATGATTGTGACGTATGAGTGTATTACGTATACGGATGGTATCGTGGTGAACGAAAATATTTTTGAAGTATAATTTAAGTAACACAATATTGATGTTTTCTGTAATATAAATTGTTTACAAGGAAATATAGAAATGAGTAACGTATTAGAGGCAGGTTATGGAAGGTCAAGTATTATCCCGCAGATGGCGCGTTAAGAATTGTTTGAGTGGATTGTAAAAGCAAGTTATTACGGAGTGTTGGAAAAATTCGTAGGGAATGAGGGTGGGGCTTGTCAGGGGCCCTAATGTATTAAACAATTCATAGGTGGCAGTGCTTCAATAACTAGCAATTCATTGAGAATCTAAATATTTAACTATCCAACAAGCTTAAATGGGGCTTGAGGGGTGGGGTTAAGACGGGCACGTTACAATTCTCGTTCTCGGAAATTGTTACTTTCAGACGATTGTTTACCTAATACGAGGAAAAACGTCAAGTTCCTACATTAGTATTTTCAAAAAATTATTAAACCAAACAATACATGTACATTAATATATTTATTTAACGTACATACACTACAAATTAACACTAATACGTATACGAATTTAATATAAATACCTTATTTAATGTAATACTCATATGTAGATCGAACCTTGTCCCGTTGATGAAGTATGTGAAGTCCGAACAACCTCGTGTGCTGGGCCGGTTACCATTAGTTTCAACTATATTCGATTGCATCTGAAAAAAACAAACGCTTAATTAGTAACAGAAGATAATGGAAACTACTGAGGACACATTATCAAAAATATTTTTAGAATTCCTATAGTGCCAACAGATCAGCACCCTTTTGGAGTTAAAGCCGAATACAAGAACCGTCTTACCCCAACACGATGCACAAGCAGAAATATAACTAAATAATTGAAATGTATTATTTTAAAATTTAAATACCATGTATTGTTACGTTATTCAATAAATTATTTTATACTAAACGTGTTGTTTTATATCTACAAAACATTTTATAATTTGGCAATGCAAATTACATCACCCATAATTTTCACTAGAAAAAAATCCTGAACAGAGGGTAAGAAAAATCCTACGGAAAAAAACAACTTTCCGTAATTTGTTTGTTATACCTATGTACAAAAGTATTAAAGCCACTCTTCAAATTGCCTAACAAATGAATTTATAAAACTAAACAAGTTAAACCTTTCCTAATTTTGACAAGTCATAGAAGGGATGTAAAAAAGCGAAAGATGATTGTCCATGCTTTGTTCATATCGTTTCAGGAGATAGCTTTTGAAATTTGGTATTTGAATTTTCGAAACTGCACAAGTTACACCGCCCTTAATGTTACTAATTATGAATTGGCAAATTTTGGGTAGTAAAAGGGATGTAAGGAGCATCTTGGGGTGTAAAGTAATTCTACATATTTTGTCCACATAGCCTCTGTACAAAGTTATTAAAATTTGATAACTCAAAGTTTGAAACCATGAAAGCTACAGCACCCTTAATTCTGGCAATTAGAAGTTGACAAATTTTGGATCGTAAAAAGGGTGTAACGAGGATACTGGGGAGTAAGGTGATTCTGGATATTTTGTTCGCATCACCTGTGGACAGAGTTATTAAAATTTGATAATTGAATTTTCAAAACTATACAAGTTACACTACCCTTAACTCTTGCAATTATAAATTGGTAAATTTTGGGTAGTAAACGGGATGTAAGGAGCATCCTGAGGTG